CAAATGGCAACAAATTTCCAACAAATTAGCTAAATTGAAGATCTTGCGTTGCAAGTGCCCCTTCCACCAGTCTCAGTGCTTCCAAAGCACATGTATCACTTGTAGAATAGAATCCGGAGTATATACATATATATAGTAAGTAGGTCAACACTACAACAAACAAGTTCAAGATAGCTCAAGTAAAACTAGGTGAAGCTGGCGGGTTGGTGACATCAACTACGCAAGAAGCTCGGGTTTCCAAAGCACACTATGCAAGATGCTCGGGCTTCCAAGCAAACTGAGGATGGAAACTCCCATCATCAATCCGCTGTTGCAGAAACTCCTCAATTTGCTTGAGGTCTAAATGTTTCCACTGTACTGGAGCATTTAATGGGTTCATCCTCTCAAAGTCAACATTCGAAGCCTCTTCCTTTTCTCCAGCCTAGGCAGTCTATGTATTTTTCAATAGTGTGTAAGAATTGTACGCGTGTGTTTTCCTATATAATAAAGGTGAAGCCGGCATCCAAGGCTTCGGCCGTCAAGTTGCAAAACTCTTTGACGACCTTTCTGGCAAAAGGCTTGGTATATTCTCCAGTTCGCTTCAAGTCTTTGCCACCGCACCTCAGGCCACGGCAAGGTTGAAGTCAGGCGGATGGTGTTCACTGGAGTCTCATGATCTATATATATATATATATATGCAAAAGGCCCCAATACAGCTAGAGTGCACAGACTTGCCTGTCTTCTTGGCAATGACAACCTTGTGTTTCATTCCTCTGCCTGGTGAACTTGCGGTAGAGCATAGGAATTCGAGGCCTCAGGGAACTGTCAATGACAACGGCAATCATTTCAAAGTGGGCTTAGGGTCTGAGCAGTGCACCACGACCCAAACACCATGGTGAGTTTCCAGGACATGTGCTTGTAGGCTCCCATATAACTCAGTCAGTGAACAAGCTAGTGCTTGCAAGAAATTGAAAGCGTTCGGGAAATCATGGAACCTGAGTCTCTGGCAAGCGGATGAAATGCATCCGTTTGATCTTGAGGACCAACAAGCGGCGCCAGTAAGGAGTCTTGGGTAAACAGGAACTGCCCGGCTGTTCTACAGCCCAGAACACTGAGCGGGCCATTGCCAAGCAACATAGCAACGATGCTCTTGCAAGAAGAGTGTTGGAAGCAACAACACCAGGGATACTTGAATCTCCCATGAAATTGGGAGCTGCTCTGCCATGTGTACCACTCGAAATCCACACCAGCATGCTGCATGGAACACCAAGAAAAACCAAGCCTGAAGGAACCAATCGGAGAGTCTGACGGACTGCGTAAATCAATCCGCTCCTCAATATTCTAAATCACCAACAGCAAACGACACATGAAACCAATTGACAGGTGACATATACAAACTCGAACCTGCCAATCAACACACATGAGTCAGGGACATCCCCAATAGGTCGTTGACCCGCGGACGCCATAGCACATCGTAGTAGTCCCTGGACAAAAATGGGCAACCAAATTTATCTTCTGTGAACTCTCACTTTTACTGATGAAACCAACACTTAAAACCCCGTTTCATTCTGAGTTTCAAGCGGCTTCAAACGCTCTTCCCGGGCAGTTGAATAGATTCGACTCACACCGGAAAACACTTCAAAGACCATGAGGTCCTTAATGATTCAACCAAGAAGGCTATTCACAAATATAGGAAAGCTGAGACTGAGATGGACACACGCTGGTTCTGGGCAGGGTTCGATGTTTGGCAAATGAAATCCACCAAGTGAAGCCTCATGTGATGGGAATGACACCTCCTGACAGTGGTCATGCACTTCACACTCTTTTTGGGGCTCCAACACTACCAACGGCACTGCAAGCTTGTGCAAGGTCAGTGCCGCTCGCCGACTAAGGCGCAAAGGGCACTGGTCACACTCCACAGCTCGAGACATTTGGGCTGGTTGGATTAGGAGGCAGAAAGCTCGAGCTTGAAACTCAAGACATGAAATGGCATTGAACTTCAAACTGGGTCCATGCGAAAAAGTTCCCAGGCCTCAGAAAGTATCAAAGCAAGTCGTGGCTTGTGTTTTAACCCCGCGCAAGTCTTGAACCACATCCGAGCTCTACTTAAATGCCACTGGATGCACGATTTCCCAAAAGGCCACAAAAGCCAAATTTTTGGCTGGCCGCGAAAACATGAACGGAGAGGCCTATGGAGAAAGACCTTCACGCGTCTCTTCCACTGTCCAGCCAGCAACTCTTTGTGCAAGTTGCCACCTCATATCACCCATCCATGACCAGGTGAGTGAATTTGAGAGGCCAGCCGTTGGATACACTAGGCTTCTGACCCGGTCGCCACCCCATGCCTTCTCATGGCAATGTGAACGCCGCCCTTCTTATCCGCACTGAGGCTCAGGGGCTGAAGCTTGGGCACCATGTGCTCAGCACACTTCTTGGCGTAGAAACTGGCAGTACTCCTGCTGGGCTTTGAACACCACAGAACATGACCAGAAAATGATTGCAATGCATCCCAGGCTGAGATTCAGACCCCAAGAACTTCACTTCGATCGACTTGATGGCAGCCGATGAGTTCTGGGGTGGTGATACACAAAAGCTTTTCTTCAATGGCGCCCCTTCAGGCACAGGGAGCAGTGAACTCTTCGTGAGGTATTGCAAGACCTAATTCAACAGAAGCATCAACACGCCGAAAACATCAATATGGTTCATATGGCTAAGAACGCTAGCTAAGACTGGTGCCCCCTTCTCATCAGCCCCTGGGACAAAGAGTTGTTCCTCTTCCACAGGGATCTTCACCTGGTCCGAAGTAGGCTTCTCCGATTCCTTTTTTCGTTTCTTTGTCGCAGGCGGAGCCACAGTTTCCTCTCTGGCAGGGTGAGATGGCTGTTCCTGCAGGTTCTTCAAAGCATCTCTGACCTTCCTTTGCGCCTGCGAATCTAAATCAGGAAAACAGCCCTCGTGAAGAAGATTCGAATGGGAAAACACTCAAACCAGCTTGCCTGCAGGATATCCACCGAAGCATCCTTCCCCATCAAGGTTAAAGTGGCTAAAGTAGCCTTGACCAATTCTTCCGACAGCTTGGCCGGGTCGCTCTCCAACGGTTTCCGATCCTTGAACGCTCCTTTCAGATTCGCCCCCCTCCTCCTCTGAAGAAATCGCTTCAACCTGGAGAAACGGTGGACAGTGATTAGAACCATGATTTCATATCAGAGCCTCAGCTGGATCCTTGCTCGCAGAATTGCCTTTACTGGGATCCTGGCCCCAAGAAGTTCAATTGCACAAAAACAATGATGACAGTTATGGGCCTGGACTTGATCCACCAGCATGGGGTCACCAACTCTAGCTTCTGTCGCCACCTCATGGCACCCCACTGGAATCGAAACAGATTAGCGAAACCAACTTCCAGAAAAACTGCTGGGCGATTTGTTTGAAGAATGATGGCATTTGATTGATTCTGGTGTCCATCAAATCCTCTGGTCGTCCATGAATTGTGGTCCATGAAATGACCATGACTTGTGGGCGAATGTCCGTGAAATGTGGCTGATTGACCGTGAATGTGGCCCATTGTCCGTGAAATGTGGCTGATTGTCCGTGAAATGTGGCTGATTGTCCGTGAAATGTTGCCCATTGTCCGTGAAATGTTGTTGATTGACCGTGAAATGCTTTTGATTGACCCTGATTTGTTTTAGAGGTTGAGAACAAAACCAATAAAGCCAGCAAACAAAAAGATGACAGAAACTGCTCAACTACCACCGGGACAGCGTACTGCTGTGGGTGGTGGAACTTGCTCTCCAACTGCTTTGCCTCCCATCTCTACCTGGGCGGTAGAGGTTGAGAATAAAATTCATTGAAGGAAAACCTACTGATCGGAAACCCGAAAAAACAGTGGGACAGCGCACTGCTATAGGTGGTGGAACTTGCTCTCCAACTGCTTTGCCTGCCACCTCTACCTGGGCGGTCGAGGTTGAGAATGAAGTTCATTAAAGAAAAACCTACTGATCGGAAACAGAAAGAACAACTGCTGGGACAGCTCACCACTGGGGGTGGTGGAACTTGCTTGGCTTTGCCTCCCATCTCCGGATCCACCTGGGCAGTAGCAGTTGATCCAACACATACACACAATGACAAAACCTTCTCAGAACCACAAACAAATTGCTGGGACGGCTGACTGGTGTGGGTGGTGGAACTTGCTCTGCAGCTTTGCCTTCTGTCTCCGAACCCACCTGCAGGGCAGTAGCGGTTGAGCCAACACATACACACAATGACAAAACCTTCTCAGAACCACACAGACAAATTGCTGGGACAGCTGACCACTGTGGGTGGTGGAACCTGCTTTGCAGCTTTGCCTCCAGTCTCCGAATCCACCTGGGCAGTAGCGGTTGAGCCAACACATACACACAACGACAAAACCTTCTCAGAACCACAGAGAAATTGCTGGGACGGCTGACTGGTGTGGGTGGTGGAACTTTCTTGGCAGCTTTGCTTCCTATCAGTACCTGAGCAGTTAAAATTTGCAAAGTTTGTTGACACAACTTTCCAAAAAAACACTCATGATTCATGGCTCACCTTTGGAGATGCCTCATCTTCCGAGCCCGAATCCGAATATGAGCTGGAATCAGAAGATGTGGATGCAGCAGCAGGGGCAGGGTCCACATAGTACAACTGCACAAATCACACATCACTTTTCACGCATGTATACAATCTTAGGTATTTGTTCAATCGCATTCCACAGGCCTTCTCTCCTGGCATATCAGGGTGCTCCTTGACCACCGTAGTATCAATCACCTCATCAATTTTGTACCTGATGAGCAATGACGCCCAAGAAATAACGCCCAAGCTGAAAAGTCTCAACGGCTCACCTGTCAAGTGTCACTGCATCCTCGCGAGGCTGAACACCAGCTGGGTGATCATCATGATCATGAGGTGCCTTCAAATTTAAACGCATCGAGGGGTGCAATGGCATGTGAATCCCGATCCGTGGCACATCAGCCCGGTGAGTGGCGGGTCGACGAGAACGAATTCGAAGTCAACGGAAACGGTCGACCAAGAGCAACACGAGTTTTCAGCGGCAGCCTTACATTCGCAAGGCGCAAAAGCTTTAAAGCCGGCCGGGCTATCCGGCCGGCCATTCCATCACGCGGCGGCTATGGCCATATTCCCAAAAGCATCTACATGCTGGCACCATTCGACCCTCAAAGCTTTCAGCCCGGCCATTCCATCATGTGGCGGTATGGCCAGAATTCCAACCAAAGCATCTATCGCTGGCACCATTCCTGAAGCTTATTTCAGCCCAGCCATTCCATCATGCGGCGGCTATGGCCAGATCCCAAAAGCATCTTGCTGGCACCATTCGACAAAGCTTTCATTCCATCATGGCTATGGCCATGTTCCCAAAAGCATCTATATTGCTGGCACCATTCGCTCAAACTTTCAGCCCGGCCATTCCATCATGTGGCGGCTATGGCCATTCCCAAAAGCAGCTATTGCTGGCACCAGTCCTTTAGAGCTTTCTTTTGCCTGTATCGCTCAACAAGCAGTGCACGCAACCTCATCATCGAATCCCAATTCTCCAGGTGGGCATAGATCACTTGCTGATCTAACCAGCTGCTCTTCCCCACATGGTCCAGCAGCTCCGTATGGCGCACGATCCGCGGCATGACCTGCAAGTTGAAAAAGTCCGGACCCTGCCACCTGACCATCTTTCAGTCACTAAAAAGTCTGCCACTAACCCCCTCCAGTCTAGGGCAGCCTCATAGGCCTCCACCTGATGGATCAGTCTGAGAAAAGAAAAGCAGGATGAATGAATTGAACATTCCTTGGAAAAAGAATTGAGCATCCATTCAAAATCACGGCCTTTTGATACTTCGGCTTGGTCGTGTACAGAACCGAAAGACCTCATTCTTTTCTAAGATCGCTGCCTGATGCAAAAAAGTTAATGGTGCACGATGCAAAAGCCTCATGCGCTGGCCTGGATCTCATGTCCCATGGGGTCTCTCGCCCCATCAACTCGAACCACTGCTTGAGGAGCTCGAAGTTCACCATGATCTGAACAAGTTCAATGTCAAAATGACCAACGTGCGCAAATCAGTAACTGCCTGGTCCTCCAAAGGCTCTTCACTGTCGAAATCGTCGAGCCGTAGTGAGAAGGATCCCTTCCTCATGCATGCATCCTGCATCATGCAAAAAATAAACCACCAACCTATATATATATTGTATTAATGTCTCCTTGTCTTTCGAATCCTTGACCTTAGCGTAGACCTTCTTGTTCTTCTCATGCCTGCGTAAGGCCTCGTCATCAGTGATCTGCGAAATCCACTCCTGGCCAGGGTGACCATGATCAAAGGTGAACCTCTCAAACGAAACAAGCCAGGAAAACCATGACCCGTTTGCATCTTTCTTTTGAACCACGGTAGCTCAGGTATTTGCCACCCTTCGACGAAGCCTCTGCCATGAACAACGGCTTCAATGCAAGCGCAGTCTGCTGCTGAGCCAAACCGCTGTCTCTAGAGCAATGGAACCTTCTGCATGGACAAGCAAGGAAATCTGCAAGAATGACGTGCGTGAAACGTTGCAAAAAACAAGAGATGCAAGGGCACGTGACATCTCTGCGG